TGGGCGCATTCTGAGATGAAAATCAGGAGCACTTTGTATGTCGAATAACATGATGGTGATACTACAAAGGATATCTATGGTGACCATCATCTCCTTGTGACGATGTTAAAACATAAACAAGTATGACTTTGCCTCCAAACTGTCCTGCAGTTTCCTCAAGAACTGGATGAAATTAAGAATATGATTCTGATATCACAATTGAGATCATACATGTCGTTGTCGTCTAAAAAAATGGTATCAAAACTCTACATAAAACTGCTCTGACATTCCGTTTTTTAAATGTATTAAAAAGAGACACACTATATATTACAATGTGGTTGGTTACAGAACATCATAAATATTACAAATAAAACAAACATCATATTTTATATTTTCTTCTCATGATTTCATTTCTTCCAATGCACAAAAGTGAAATGTATCCTGTCATGTGAACAGTATAATCTTAGAAAAAAATATTTCCTTTAATTTGTCACAAATGTTGATAGCACTTTGGTGATATTTTTTTTTTAAAGATTTGTACTAATTGTAACTCCAAAACAATTTAATACATGAAATCTCAATTGCCAGAGGTAACAGCACTTTCATAATATGGCAGTAATTACATTACTTTTAAACTGCTGCAACCAACTAACGACAACAGCCCCATCACCAGGTTGAAGGAACTATATGGTGATGATGAACAGCTGCCAATTCATCGCTACTACTTGATAATATACTGAGGGAAACAAATAAGGGGACACCACTTCACGGCAGTATTCCTATATTTATTCTCAGATTTCCTCCCACGGCGCTATTCAAAGCTGGTGATGAAAACTGAAAAATATTAAAGGAACACTTGGATATTCCTGTTCCTTTATTTGTTACTCTCAGTATAATTTAACTATCAATTCTTGCAGCCATTGAATGACATCCCTGTGCTGAGACAAATATTAATAACAGTTTGGAAATATTTCAACAACAAAATCATTCAACTTCTTAAAAAGTTAATGAATATACAAGCATATCTTTAAAAATTAATGTTGAGACTTCTTTAGTAATTAGTCATACCTGAAACAACATTGCAGTAATGTATCTGTTGATGTTGATAACATGAGTATGGAATACCGTATTCAATGTAATAAGCATCTTGTAAATTGTAAGGGATCACCCCTTTACAAAAGAGACATTTGACCAATTCAACTCCCAATGAAACCTCCTGTTTAGTGCACATGCACTAAGTCATAGCTGTTTAAGCCAATCCGCCTATGTCCCTTGCCATGCAATGAATAAGTGTTTTAATAACACATTTCTTAATGATACAAGTGCTTATTGGGTTGAATACGGTAATGATTGGTTTGAAATCATTTATTCATAAATCAAATTTCTTACGATCTCCATTTTGCTGACACAGGGATTTACCCAGAATTTTCAATTTAAGTGCTCATGGCTGCAAAATTGGCAAAAACAATAGGATTTCTCCTAAAATATATATCTATCTAAATTCAGAGATATTTTACCATTGCACTCTGTACAAAAATGTAAAGCTAAATATTAAAGCCTGACCTATCTCTTGGTCCTTTTATCATTGGAAAACACTGATTGTCTGTCTGTTAAGGCTTCAGGAAGCTGTATGACTGTGGTAAATAAATAATGAGTCCAGACAATCCAGTGATGGACTTCACAAGCATCGATCCACTCCACTTGACACGAGGACACCAAGTCAGCAAGTGGTGGCCTTGTGTGACAAGCATGGGTAGCTTGGTCAGTGAAAAACAGTTAGCCATGCAATGTAAAACTCTTTTTCAAAATTACGGCATTGGTCGGGAAATCTTAATATTTTTTATTACAGTTATCTGCCCCTGAGCACCTAGGTAAATCCCTGCAAAGTGTCATACTGTCCAATATAACAGAAGTCGCAAGTATATTACTGACATTACTGTCTTCTCAACAAAAACAGTAATATCTTTCTCATGATTAAACCACTGTTCTCCATGGATTGTGATAGTCCGACAAAGCTTGATCCCCATCTTTGGACGATAAGGGCACAGCTGACTGAGATGACATGAACTAACTGCATCAACTTGAGTGGGTGAGGCATGCATGAATGAGTATAGACGAGATCTCTGGGAAGATTATCATGATTCTACATATCTGTGAGTCGTTAACCAATGACAACCAAAATGGTCCAGATTCCATCACGTCTCTGTTCCCTCCTTATATTTTTTTCAGAGGATTTCATTTCATATGGTTTACGCATGAATGTGTAAATTTTACAGTCATCTGTTTGATCATGATCAAAAGAATTTCTTTCCTCAATGTTTCCTTTTTGGACTCAAAAAACTCCATAACAGGCTTCCTTGAACTCAGCATCATCTTAAACATACACTTTAAGTGATATTGGCAGGAATATTTCTAATTCCATTTTTGAAACCAATTTGGCACTCTCTTTTTACCAGAATGAGTGTTTTATCATCAACTACACATTGTGAATGAGAACACCTTCCAATATTTTTTTGATCATTTCTAATTTAGATTTACAAACTCAAAGTAGAAACAATCAATATTTCTGTTAGAGTTATTTCTTTGTTAATCCTCATCAATTCTAAACTTGCTTTCAACAGAAATGTCCCTGGAATCCAGACCACATGGAATGGATGAAAACTTTCATTGCATTTTCATATGCAAAATTTGTCACGAGGAATTCTATATACAATCAACCACATGGCATACATTCTACCGTTACCATTGGCAACTTTAATTGTACAAAGTTATTAAAAGTGGAAAAATATAATTATTTACGTGTACAAAAATGACACTAGATATTCAACACACCTACATTTGTAAGCCACCAAGAGTATGCATACAAATTAACAATATTTGTCTCCGAGATATATATGTACAAACAGCCTACCTAAAGGCCTGACCAGCTTTAACTCATATATGGACCAAGCTTAAACTACCAGGAACATCAAAATATTTTCTGAACATTTCATCCTGTCAAGGTAGAAAATGAACATTGACACAGCATATAAATGCAGATAGATTTACCAAATATTGACAAGCAGGAAAATGTAAAGATTTGATCATTATTTGACACTTATAAGATATTATCATCGACGTCCTTGAGTTAAGAAATCCTCGTCTAAATCTTGGTCCTCATGGTCACTCGGTTGAGTGTGATATTCATCCTGATCCCTCCCCTTGCAGGGCTCCAAGCCTCCCCTCCCACATCAGCGTCCCCTCACCTGTAGAGGATCCTCCGACCAGGGCCCGCCCACTATTAGGTGGTGTACGGCAGACACAGCATGAGGGGGTGTGGCACATTATCAACCATACTATTGCATTCATGGAACTGTCAAATTCACTTTCCCATTGTAACACTTCTCTCACAGCTTTCTACTAAGTGCCTAACTATGAGCCTTGACTACATAGTCAATCCAATGTTATCAGCTTGTATTTTTTAGTACTACTCTTTTTGATTCCACACTGCTAAAACACATTTCTAACAATATCCTTTCTTGTCCCTGGCACACAGTGGACTGCCATTAATTTTTTTAATCCCGAATTTTAATATAATTAAATAAATATATTCAGCGTTTTGACACAAAATGTCAGAGTCAATTCACACAATGCAATAGTATGATGACTTACACTGACTATCATGTGTTACAATGTAGCACAGTTTCTCTCATTATGCCCCAAGCTATAACATAGGTAGCACATACTGATCTATCCACACCCTGAATACATCAAATTCATCACATCTATATTCTGCAACAAACCTCTTTTTTTTAACAATCTCTTTAAAATATTATTAGTTTCATGTGAAATCAAAAAGAATGTGTAATTTGATTTTTTCCATATAAAGACAATTTGTTACCATGGAAACTTCCCTGCAATTTTCACTCACTTCAAATTTTTATCCTAAATGAAACCCTCAGTTAAAAATTAGGTCACCAAATGATAATTTGGGTGTTTTTTTCACAATTTTGATTTGTCAGTCAAAGTATAAATATACAATACATCTTAATATATTTTAAACAATAACCCTTATAATTTCTCTTATTTCAACCTCTGTATTTGTGTATTGTCAATCCAAATTTCATACACCACATCATTAAGTATTTTCAGATGCAAGTTGGAACACAATGTTTTCCTCTGTACCTAAAGACCCCCTGTTATAGCTGAAGCAGTAATTGGAGAAAATGTGGTACTACTGTCAACACAACTGAGTATCAGTAGAATATCCAATATAAACAACATGACTTGACTATTACATAAACTACAATTAGTTATATTTGGGACAGTGAAAGACATGGATTCTGATGAAACAACCACCCGTATGGCAGCATCTCACTCACTGGGACATAATTTAACACCTCAAATATGTGTAAAATGTTTAAGTTGATTATAAAATTCAATCTCTAAATCATGCCATATATATGTAATTCTATCAAACAATGTTACGTTTTCACCAATTTCAAATTGTATTTCCTCCCGCTAAATATAACTGATAGATTTAACAGTACAGAGTTCATAAAATAAATAATACATTCACAACTTAAGGCAGATCTACATTTCTTGAAAGTCAGCAATACAACATAGCTGAATTAAAATACTCAACAACCAAAGTTTCAGAATCAAATTCAAAATTACATGAAACCTTAATTGGCACAAACAAATAACTTGTATTCAACAAACAAAATCAAACTATAACAAACAAGTAGTACATCCGCCATTGATAAAACAAGAATTACTTTTTCAAGAACCACTGTAACATTAAACCAATCGTAAACTGACTTAACTACAACATACATTAAATGCCATTCAAAAGCTGATCACAAGAAATACTTGATACTATCACTGGGGAATGCATAAAACATGGACCTTCCAACTAAAATCTTTGGTCCTGAAGTAGTGAGTGAGTGAGTATAGTTTTACGCCGCTTTTAGCATTATTCCAGCAATATCACGGCGGGGGATACCAGAAATGGGCTTCACACAATTACCCATACGGGGAATCGAACCCGGGTCCTTGGCATGGCAAGCAAACGCTTTAACCACTAGGCTACCCCACCGCCCCTTGGTCCTCAAGTAGCATCAGATATGTGTACCAGAAGTTCACACCTTAAAATGGTACATTTGTAACTGTAATAATAAGGTGGGTGAGCTGGAATTTATGTCGCTTTTTACCAGAAGGATCAAGGAGTGAAAAACTGAAAAATGTGATTCAGACATTGTACTTAAGTAATAAGTCACAGAATCTGATTGTCAAATCAAAAATTTCAAATATATAGAAACTGTTCAACTTCACTCATATTTAAACCTACATGAAGAGAGAAATGAGCTAAACAAGCGGCAGAGTTTGCCTCTTAGTCCCCTTACTGTCTTATATATGATAATAAATAATTGTGGTTGTTTCAATACAATATGTCCATTAGGACAGTCGAAAACGATCAGATTTCCATGTTTTATGCTTTCAAACAAGAATTGAGAAAATTAACATGATTGAAGCAAACACACACAGACCTGGGTGGTTACCCATTAATACTGCACAAGGTATCCAGAGAGAAAAAGTGTCAGTTTAGAGTTATCTCCCCTTGGCTGCAGATTTTATTTCCATGTGACTGCTATCAATTTCTGGATGAAAACAGTCAGAATTAATTAGGAATCTATTGTAAAAAATGACATTGTCCAGACTTATCATATCCTTTCTCAAGGTGTATCTTGTAGATACTGATTTGGAAGCTTGAGCTTTGGGGCGGACCTCATCCGGAACCGACAATACCTGTTTTCTATTAAATCTGTTCACATTAGACACATCAATAGTACACTGACATTGGGAAACACTGTTGATGGTCATTAAATAGCAGACCAATATACCCATCTTGACACTTTTGCAAGGTATGAAATTTGAGTGCATTTGTCCATCAGATTTGACAACAATGTGTAGAATTATTCTTGGCAATTGGTTCAAAATGTCCGTCAGCTCTAGACAGTCTGCTGTGAGATATACCTGAAATAACTTTGGTTACAGTGAGTGATGTGAATGCTGTTTGCTGTATTCCTTTAGACATGTAAATCTTTCACCAACATACAAAAGATGGTGTTCAGAAACCTGTTTTCAAATACATGTTTCAAATCCTGATAACAAAGGGGAGATAACAAACAGACATTGCTGACAATCAAAACAGTACATATTCAACAAAGTGAAAACAAATGTTTACTTTGAAATTTGTGTTTACCTGTGACTGAATTAATCAATGAATTCAAATATTATAATAATGATTACAAATATTGTCCAAGCAACGATTGTCAACGATTCTATCACGAGTCTCTGGAAGACATAGTGGGTAAAAAATTGTCATGAAGTTCAAAATTGGGATTTGTTAAAAGTGACATTTTTCTTAAATTCAAGTGAACCTACAGCTCTCCCTTTATAGAAAGTTTCGGAACAAATAAAAAGAACATGATCGTCTGCAAACCGATATAAATATCCACAGAAGTATTTTCCATATTCATGTCTTTACTCCCAAACAGGGAAAAGTGTTTTCAATTTAGGAATTTTCAAATATTGGAAATTGTGGCCATGATACTGAATACAGACAACAAACTCAGCATAAACATGTTTGGAAAAATATTTCACATTTAAGTTGAAGAATTAATTTAATCACAGGTATTCACAAACTTCATGTTACTCAACAAAAAAACACATCAGCAAATGTTACCATGTATACAACGTACCAACTACGCAATATGCACCAAATAAGACTATAATGTGAAAAATATACCCTTAACCAATGGCATATACATCAAATGATCACAAACAGATTCCACATGCGTAGCGGACACAAACAATAACAAGTAAATTTTGATTTTAGGACAAAATCCAAAACAGGCCAAAAGAGCCCATGTGGGAATGCTAGGTAACAGAACTAGTCTAACACTTTGGCCCCTAAAATATTCAAATGATCACGTCACCATTTGTTGCAGACAATTCCATTTGAATTAGAGGGGATAGATTGCACCTAGCTACATATTTACACTAGGACTATCGGAGCTTATAGTACACTTCTGTAGACTAACTGTATCAATAAGGGGGCTTCCTTGACCACCACTGCGTGACGTTGTGGCTGGGCGTTCAGGCTCTAAAAATGGATCATCAGCAACAGAATCTCTCCTAGAGTCTTCCGAGTCTATACTTTCGTAACTCGTAGACGACCAGTTCCGGGCTTTTCGGTAACCCATGAAAGGATCGAAAGATGATTCTGTAGGCACAGACAGTGTATTCTGGTCAATTTCTTCAAAGTCTGGTGCTTCCTTTCTCCCGCACGCCCACTGCAACGTCTGTGTCACATCCTTGTCAGCCTGAGCTCCTTCCGGACTTGCGTATTTACGATGGCTTGTGTCCGATTCCAAACTATCAACGCTGGACACTGAACAGGTTCGTGTTGAGTCTGTTGTATCTGTGCTTGAAACTGAGCTCTTACGTACTTCATTAGTCTCCAATTCAGGCACAGCCAGAAAGCGTCCTCCTTTGCGTGATGATCTCTTGTTGTGGGTACGCATGTGTCGCGTGATCATGTCTCGCCGACAAGCTGCGTAGGGACACTGCGGACAGCGGTATGGTTTCTCACCAGTGTGTGTTCGTTTGTGAGTGTTCAGGTGGTCACTACGGCTAAACACCTGGCCACAATCTGTACACTCATAAGGCTTAAGTCCCGTATGGAGCCGCATGTGGCGAGTGAGCATGTCACTACGGAGAAGGACCGATTGCACACTTTACAGTAATGTATTTTGTTATTGTCAGCTGCACGTACTGTCTCAGTTGGTAGATGCTTGGCCATGTGTTTAGCAAGATTATCATAGGATGGAAACACCTGTCCACAAACCGGACAGAGGTATGTCACATCAGACTCTGATAGGGAACGTTTCTCATAAAAAGCCTTTAGTATGTTCCTGCTTGACAGGCCCATATTGCTTGGATGGGTAGTTGGAGAACTGAGTAGGCGATGATGGGTACAGAGCTCGAGGAGAGACAGCCAAGCGATTCACCTCCGCTAGTGGACTCAACATTGACGCATGAGGAGGGAATGTGAAGAATCTCGGTGACATGGGACTAGGGGACAGAAGATCAGAGTCCGAGTGAGGACCTTCAAATGGACTTGGCATGCTGAAGTTGAAGATACGCCCACCTTCAGGCACTGAACACAGAGGTGATTGTGGAGAGATAAGACCGTGGGGTGAGTATGGCAGGCGATGTGTTGACCGGAAAGTGACAGGGGAGAACTGTTTGGCTGCTGTGGAGACAGCTCTGGCTCCTGGGGACCCTGGCCCATCCCTACACCCAGATTTGGAGAACCTAAGGAAGGGGACCCTAATGCTGGAGACCCAATAGAGGGTGATCCTAGCCCTGGCGACAAATTAGGACTTGTGCTCTTTGAAAGGTCTAGAGGTTCATTTTGCTGCAAGGAGGGAGGTTTTGAACGTTTGTGAGAAGTAACAGAAGGGGTAGGTTCCATGAAGACATCATCTGGTGTGTCCGACCGAACATCACTGGTCCTCTTGAGATCACGTTCCGACTCTGACACTGATTCACAAGACACCCATACTCCTCCCTGCCCCAAATCCGGACCCCTGCCCTTCATATCCTCTAGTTCTGGAGGATAGAAGTACACTGGCCCTTCCTTTAAGCTCTGCTCTAAGGATGAAGAGTCTGACTGAAGACTCATCACATATCGTTGATGGAGCATTTTCTTGAATTTTCCATGTTGATAGCTCTGACGTTCACTCTCTGAATGAAAATCTCCCTCCTCACATTTTTGAGAAGTCTCCCCAACCCTCCTTATTCCGAAATCCTCCTGCTCCGAGCTCCCTTGGTACTGAAGTCTAGGAACATCTTCTGATCCAGTGAAGGGGGACTGTTCTCGACTGCTACCACTGTCAATGTTGCTGGAACTTGACTCAGATATTGTCTCTACTAACGTGTTGTCATCAGCTTCACCACTCCATAGCCGAGGTCGTTCTGTTTTTATCAACGGGGGTCCTCGAAACCATCCATACCTAGAATCGTCAAACACCTCCCCTTCCTCTCCTGTTCGGGGCGGCATACTGAGTATCTCGTTACTTTCAAATCCAGGGTGACACTTCTGCAGATTGGGATTCTGGAATGATCCAGCATGGCTGGGGTTGTCGGTTGAATACGGAACGAAATTTAACGCTTTGTTCACGCCTTTATCCAACATACTTGGAGGTTGAAACTCAGACTTAATATGAAATTCAGCAGGACTGATAGGTGCGGCAGTCACTTCCAAGGACTGTGATTGGCTGGCTTGAATTTTATGTTGCTCCGTGGAGCTTTGTGACGGATGACCCATCATAGTCAAATAAACTCACAAGATGGAGATGGGGGAAGGGGAGAAGGCAGGCACTGGGTGGGGAACAAATGAGGATCCTTAGAATTCATGTTGACTCTGCAACGAAAACAAAGAACAATCTTAGGTGCATTTTTCTCCCCAAAATAAGCAGAATTACAGAAACAGAGATGCCAACCCTAACTTAGCCCAATTAACATTTGGCTAAAAACTGATGCAAAAATTAGCATTTTTTGGCCAAAATTAGTATCAACTTTTCTAAAGAATTTTCATACTTAATAAAATATATAGATATTCTAAGAACTTGTTACTAACATTGTACTCACCTAAACCAGTAGTAAGTATCCACATATAGCTTGATACTGAATAAAATCTGGTTGAAATTTATTGTGCATGGTACGTATGCTATTTGATAATTTAATTTAATGTATTTTCTTATTAAATTGGTATATTTTTACTGTCACATTTTATTCGCATATTTTGTGTTGGTTTTTTTTCATTATGAATATGATAAAATCGTATGGGTTGGCATCTCTGCAGAAATTTACATTTCTCACCAGACAAAAAGCAGAATTACATTTTACCCAGATCTCAAAATAAATTATAACTTTCAAGTTAAGATGCTGAGAAATATTATAACATATGTTATACTTGGTATTACACTGTATCGGCAACATACAGATTCTCGTACTGTAGTGGGTGGAGTCCTATTTAGGATTCGAACCCACACTCTCAAGTAAGTGACCTAATAGCCAGGACATAGTGAATGATAGGCAACCTCTCCCCAACCCCAACCTGACCAATTGATCAGATCATCTTCATGATACTCAAAAAAGCCAGGCCTAAAATATAGATTTATGATTAAACCAGAAACTGCAAAACATTAGTGTAAAGTGAATTTGGTTTGATACTGCATTCAACACTATTTCAGTTAAGAATGTTATCATAATGTGGTACAAAAGCCATGATAGATGCATGTCTTGAACTTCTACATGATAAGGGGGTGGTGGGGTAGCCTAGTGGTTAAAGTGTTGCCTCATCACGCCGAAGACCTGAGTTTGATTCCCCACATGGGTACAAAGTGTGAAGCCCATTTCTGGTGTCCCCCTGCTGTGATATTGCTGGAATATTGCTAAAAGCAGCATAAAACTAAACCAACTCACTCACTCTGCACAATGAAACCCACAAAGACAGGTATGGTGTAAACAACCTTAGGAACATAATCAGGACACTTTAGGGATTAAAACGCATGGCATGCCTAATTGACACAACCCAGTAAATCAGTGTACCTACAATTCAACATGCTTCAAAACGAGGAAAATATACTCGGTTACATATTTGAGTATAGTATTTGTTATATAGAAATTGAGTGAGTGAGTGAGTTAGTTTTATGCTGCACTCAGCAATATTCCAGCTATATGGCGGCAGTCTGTAAACAATCAAGTCTGGACCAGACAATCCAGTGATCAACAGCATGAGCATAAATTGGGAACCGATGACATGTGTCAACCAAGTCAGCCTAGGACTGAAAATTAAGCCTGTTACGACAAGCATGAGTTACAGAAGATCAATAATCTTTCACAGGAGTAAATGGAAAGTAGCCTATATCAGATAATCACAGCAAGTATTCAAATGCCAATTTGGTCACCATGTAGATATATTTATTTACAAAATAGAATAACAAAATGAATGAAAATATTGAATATATAAGACAAATATATGGATGGCAACTTCTTATTTATTGTATAACACAAAGTTTCTGGGCCACTTCTTACCCCTTCTTCTGGTGATTAAAGGCAGGTGTAGAAAACATGTTATATATACCAGATTTACAGGAAGCCAGAGATGTACATGTATAAACAATCAATATTAAAAAGATTGAAGTTGAACAAAGTTTCTAACTTCTCTTCAGTGATGATTAAGGTAAATGCTTCAATTTTCACTTAGTCAACAGTATTTTATAATATCTAAAATTTCAATTAAAACACTTTTACTCAATAACAAGGAAAACAATGCAATCCTACAAAATTGATAAGTTTAAATAACTTACATGAAGTCACATTTTCAATGTGGAAACCGCAGTGGCTGAGCGGGTTAGGCGTCTGACTATGTGTGCTGGCGACTAGGTTCCTTACTCTGAGGGTGTGGGTTGGCAACCCAACAAAAGTACTAGAATCTGTACTTTACTAAGAAAGTGTAATCCCAAATATAACATATGTTACATTTTCAACCAGTTTCCTAAGTAACTGCACAAGTCTCACATCAAAATGACCCACGCTGAATCCCATCCCTTCAAATGACAAATGACAGTGAAGAACTCTCAAATTCTCTTCTATACAAGTGTGTATCACACCACAAGAAAAAAACAAAGATATTTACGTGGTAATTAGTATATAGAGGCCTCCCAAGGCTGGATATTCACGAGAGTGTTGTCTGTGCAAAGTGAAGTCTCCTTATCACCCCTTCCTCTGGAAACACCTGTGGAAACAACAATCAATACTCCAGCACTAATTACAACCCTTGTTCCCCAATATCGGGGATTACCAACTAAACACAGTAAAACAAAGGGCTGGCAAAAAGGATAGACAATTATAACTATTGACGATAGGAAGAAACAATCAAGTTGAGTCATCGATGATATCAAAGTTTACATATACCAAAACATATCTGTTATTGTGAACTGTCACAGAGAGAAAGCAGCTGTTTTTGTTGAATATCACAGTGGGGACACCAGAAATGGTTTCACATATTGTACCCATGTGAGGAATCGAACCCAGTGATGTGAAATATGTTGTTTTCTTTTGGGGCTTTTTGCATATTTGCTTAAAGTTACTTAAACAATATTTATCACAAATTGTTCCATATTTAGTTAACGCATATAACACTAGAAAGACCATTTCAACAAATCAGTACTGAACAATGCAAGTTAATCCTGATATTACACTATCTGGTAATGAAAAATGATCAATGTACATCTGTACTAATAAATATATAGGGACCAATGGTTGAACCAGTCGCTCGTCATGCCAAAGACCTGGGTTCGATTCCCCACATGGGTACAATGTATGAAGCCCATTTCTGGTGGCCCCACCGTGATATTGTTGGAATATTGCTAAAAGCAACTCACTCACTCACTAATATATATTTGTATTTTATTAGTTTGATTAAATATTTAATTCAGTATTGATTACCGTTTTAATTTCCTTGGAAATGTGAGTGTAATGGTCGCTGATGCCTTGTGAGTAAGTATGGTTTTACGCTGCTTTTAGCAATATTCAAGCAATATCACAACAGGGGACACCTGAAATGGGCTTCACACATTGTACCCATTTGGGAAACGAACCCTATCTTTAGCTTGACAAGCAATCACCTTAACCACTATGCTACCCATCCCAAAAAGTTATTAAAGATTGATTCAGTAAATTTTCAGATATTGATCCAGTAATTCGATGACTTTTTCAATTCTCCAACCCTTCACATTCTACCACAACAGTATTGCAGACTAACAATACATTCCTATAGGATCTAAAAAACATTGCTGCTCAAAACCTATATCGGAAACCTGTACAACACGTGTGTGTATTCCCAGAAGACAGCATATACATTTGTTCCACGTGGAACATCACAAACAAATGTCGTCCATGTTGACTATGACGTGATAAAAACTTGACAACACTTCTCTCACAACGTAACCCCCAGTCCCTTTCATCCTCACCCCCTAGCCTATACAAATAGGATCTGCGAGACACTAGGTAAAATATAACCATTGATTTACATGGCACTGAGGCCATCCTGTTCACTTGTATAACATGAAGCAGCTTTATACGTTTCTTCGGCTAGCTGGCGTGGGAATTGTATTCCGCCTTGTTTGGCAAATCTGTCTCAAGTCTGTCACATCACCTACAAGTCTTGAATGATAAACTTTATTTTTCAGGATATTCTTGTCAATATGCTAAAACGCAAGAAACAGAAATCAAATGTTAACAGGTTTAACTCAACTTATATCTGCAAAGTGAAATATTCAAAAAAGATATTTTAAAAATAATAATAAACCCAATTGTATCATTGCATAATTATCACATGTATCTTTTCCAACAATGTACCTGTATTCATTGTTTGAAATAAGGCTCGTCAAATGTCCAAGACAGGCTAGATTTCCGACGGACAGTCTAAATTTACAGCTAGCCAGCCAAATGGTCTGGAAATTTCTTTAGATAACATGTTCCATACATCTGATTAAATTCACCATATCTTAAAATCTGTTTTTCAAGGGAGGAGCTCATCGACAACAAGAGGGTGTTTATAATTTCCATACCTGATGGTATGCATGGATCAAACATAGTGAGTGAGTGAGTTTAGTTTTACCCCCGCTTTTTAGCAATATTCCAGCAATATCACGGCGGGGGACACGAAATGGGCTTCACACACTTGAACCCGGGTCTTCGGCATGACGAGCGAACGCTTTAACCGACCCGGATCAAACATAAAAGAAACACAGTAATAAATAATAAACATTCAGCGATCTGGAAAATGAGAAATATATCCCCAACAAGCGCAAATACCTAGATGATATACACACAATTCACAACTTACAGTATTTATTTCCATTTCCCAAAATTCATGGAAAGTGTGTTTGATACATAAAAAATTTAACAAATGTGGATTTTGCTTTCAGTTGATAAGTTTAAAAACACATCGACTGGATGTTTTAGTACTTTTAAAACCCTAATCTGTGGGATTTCAGCCCTGTGGTTTTAGCCATCAGATGCAAGTTTACAATCTCAAAAATTCCCACGAAAGTGTTTTAATGGACTTAGATCTAGGGAAGAATTTCTTAAAATATTGCAAAGTATGATACCTGTGTGTGTTAGGTACAAGTAATCCTCAACACATATTACTTTTCTGAGTAAAGTTTTTAGTAAGAGAGAAGGGGATTAACTCCAGTAGGTCTCATGCAGAAATACAATTTTTAAACCATTAGTCATTTTACTGGTGCTTCAATATTCTACCGAAGATACAGACCTACCAAAGGTATTGTCCCAATTGTTCTAGCAAACCCTGAACCATATTATATCAACCCACCTATGAAGCAAACACCATAAACGAAGCAAGTCAAGAATTTCCTGAATCTCAATACAAATGTAGTTATTTGTTTCTATCAAAATTACATGTTAAGCATTTGTCCATCACTGCCCCATCAGTTTTGAAAAGATATAAACTCTTTACCCATCCAGTGGAGTGAGTGAGTCAGTAGTGTTTGATGCCGCTTCCACCAATATTCCAGCAGAAGCATCACCAGATATCACCGTTGGACCAAACAAACACTGAACTTACGTTACCTCCTGTCACCCCCTTCCTGTTCTCATGTGTTGCTTAAAGCGACACTCAATGTGATCAAGAGCAGGAAGATGTAGATCAGGAACAAGCCCCCACCCGTACATAAATCTCAATTGTATAGGCCATCTGTTATTCTTTACATAAGTCATAATACATTGGCTATTTTACAAAAGTCATACCATGTTTATTATTCTAAATATGTCATAACACTGGTAGCCCAGTGGTTAAAGTGTTCGTTCATCACGCTAAAGACCCGGGTTCGATTCCCCACGTGGGTATAAGGCCCATTTCTGGTGTCCCCCGCCAAGATATTGCTGGAATGTTGCTAAAAGCGGCGTAAAACTAAACTCACTCACTCACTAATATATACACTGCCATTTGTCAGTTATTCTATATATATATATATATATATATATATATATATATGTATGTCATAACATGTCAGATAGAGATCATTTTGATGACAGATACATCATATTTCATTCGACACAAGATATTCTATTTACTATATGCTTCCAATTATTGTTTAATGAAATCTAAACATTAACCCAATACATTTGATAAAGGAAATCTCAGTTCTCCAAACTTCAAACTAAAGATTGCACAGGTCTTTGTTCAGGCACACAGATAACACATAGTTCAGTAAAGAAAATAAATTATTATTGAGACAACACATATCTGTGTCAGTTGCTATCTGTTCAATTATCACCTCTGTTTGAATAAGATCAGCACTTATAATAACATTCATCAAACGATCATTTTCATCTTGGCATAAATGTCAAAACTCAGTGTCAATAAACATAAATACAGGTAATGACAGCTGATCGAGAGAAATAAAGTCACTTGTTCATAAAATGTCGGTTTTGAATACTGCCAACATGTAACTCAAGTGTTCTAACCTGAGATAACTCACATGAAGCAACGCTAGGACTCGACACAACAAAGGACAGTTACTCAGTGGCACTCACTCAGTAACAATGCATTGAATGACTCAGCAATCAGCTGATCGGTGCGAGTTATCTTCACTGGAGCTTGGACACTTGATGCCCAGGCTTGGTGCCCAAAAGCAGACTAACAATACATTCCTATAGGATCTAAAAAACATTGCTGCTCAAAACCTACATCGGAAACCTGTACAACATGTTGAAATGTTGAAATGTGTATGTTGACATGCCCATAAATTGTGTTGTTGAACTTTGGTGAACCACAAAGTTGTTAGGCAAACTGATAGTTTTGCTGTAGTGAAAATATCACTTTTCTCAAACTGAGAAATCTTAGTGTTTCACATGTCAGTACTATCGTATATACTCATAGAAACGAATCAGGGAACACATGAAAGTACAAGTGTTCCTTTGTTTATTTCCAGAATTTCACCCAGAGTGCAATATATACCTTGTGAAGAAACCTGGAAAAGAATAAGGAACACTTATACTTTCATGTGTTCCCTTATTTGTTTCCATGAGTATATTAGCCAGCTCTCATTATTTTATATACATGGCATAACATGTCCCTATAATATGCATAAACCATATTCTATATTAAGAAAAATATTCAGTTATAATAATTATGTAATAATATGTTTAGCAGTATTTAGGGAAAAGGCGACCATAAGTGGTGCATTTGTGCCTAATCTCGTTGTCTTTTGGACAATAAAATATGTTTAAACCAAACTAAACCAAGAAAAATAACAAAACTGAGGGAAACTAAAGTAAATAGTTCCCTAAATATACATTCCTCTAGTTAAATCACTACTTCAATTAGAAATTGTATACTCACACGAAATGTAAAAGGTAAAAGCTAAAGGTGTACAAGAGAGTTGTCTAGCCCTGAGTGAGCCTGCTGCTGAATCAAACCCAAGCTTCACTGTCATGGTGGGTTGTGGGCATCCAAAACCTGGAACAACAAAATCAGTTGTAACATGAGGTGGTTACTTACGATCATGAAGAATATTTTAGTCAGATACATCATACCTGTCCCTTGCATCTGCTAACATGGTTAAAAAGGGTTCTAATTCATTCATTGATTTGAGAGTAACTCAGCTTTTTTAACAATTTATCAGTTACTACTGTCCTAAGTGCACATACACAACTCAACAAACAAATGAATAAGGTATAATAAAGACAAATCAAGGGTAAGATTTTTTAATTCTTGCTACTCCAATGTGAGACAACTCTACCAACAATATTGCAGTTGAAACAACTTGCCATGATACTTCTCCAATGAAAGAAAAGGCTGCAAAAACAAACCTCACTAACTCTTTTGTCTGATACAAAAATTAATTCCAAACAGAGATCAAGAATAGCCTGAGTGTAAGCTCTTCAACAGGGAAAAAGTGCAGCAAAATAGTCAAGTTCACAGAAGCACTCATAAAATGATCATACATGACTACTGGTGGTTGACTGTTGGCCTCAACTGACACGAAATCACTGCACCTCTTCCCAGTGGGAAACCAGAATCTGACTGTTAGCCTGACCTGGAGCATTAGTGTTGTTTTATAGGAAACAAACTGATGCCGAACACTGTGGATTTGTTATGAATGGAAAACATAGAAGAATAAAAAACAATTGCTATGTAGCCATATTTGGTAATGGCTGTTTATGACGTTAAGACCTTGCTTATACAAGTGAGGGAGTATCGCATGTTTACAATTACAGAGATTTTATGACAAATATGAGGATTCTGAATAACTGTACGACATAACAACAGTAAGTCTTTGTTTGAAATTCACGTAAGAGCTGAAACTAAAGAAGAGATCTGTTGCACTGTAGCTCACCTGGGAAGATTATTGAAGTGAATAAGTGAGTGAGTGAGTTGGGTTTAATGCCAGTTTAAGCAATATTCCAGCAATATCATGGCAGGGGACACCAGAATTTGGCTCGCACATTGTACCCATGTGGGGAAGCGAACCCAGGGCTTAAATTTGGGAATTCTCTCATAGCCCTGACATACTGTGTACAGTGAATAGTATTGCTTGTTTTTCTAAATTTGTTTAATGAATAATGTTTGTATCTTTTGGTTTGTTGAAGTTCCCAATCGAACCACTTTGGTTACATGTGTGTTAGCTGATGTGTACATGGCCTTGTGGGCCATATTTGAAATACTATATACTTTACACAGCAATACAATACTGTAATGCAATATGAGGCTAACAATAAAAGACATCATCAGTCACAATATATATGACACATTACAAGCAATAACACGATTAAAAGCTATAAAAACATGAATATCAACTGTTCAAGAACCAACTTATACAGATTCTCTTGTGAGTGAGTTTAGTTTTACGCCACACTTAGCAATATTCCAGCTATATGGCGGCGGTCTGTAAATAATCAAGTCTGGACCAGACAATCCAGTGATCAACAGCATGAGCATTGATATATGCAATTGGGATATGATGACATGTGTCAACCAAGTCAGCGAGCCTGACCACCCAATCCCGTTAGTCGCCTCTTACGACAAGCATGGGTTACTGAAGATCAATTTTAACCCGTATCTTCACGGGTCCAGATTCTCTAATATACCCCAGTTGGCTATAAATAGAAGACTCCCAAAGCCCTTAAGTTTTTGCCCTACAATACAGGGGAGGATGGGATGCAGCTTTTTTAGAAAGGGTGGGGGGTGGGGTGCACACTATTGAGAAAAGGAGGGGTGCACACTTCATTTTCACCCGAGTTTCAATGGTCATTTAACAAACTTTCACCACAAAAGGGGGGTGCGCACCCCCCCTCTGGATCCGCCTATGCAATATCATATAGTTGCTCCCTGAAATTCATCAACAAAGAGTTCTGATTCACCTGCATCAAGTGAAAGTACAACAAAGTACTGAATCAGGATATGAATATTAAAGGCACAATGTCATGCTTTTTCGACAATATTTTGGCCTATATTTTATACATGCACACACTTTAGCTTCCTATTGATACAATAAAAGAGTTAGTATCCCTTACGACTTCACTGAAATCGATAATTGAAACTTCAGGGCGAATAACTCTATGGGATTTGCTTGAAATAATGTTTGGCCGGGAGAGGGCACGAGAATGCAACATTGCATTAATTCATACAAAATTTTTTGGGGTGTGATATAGTGCCTTTAACACACATACATAATATGGCGTTACGTTTCGTATCACAGCCCCACTGTGTCATTACAGCTCTATTAGTCACTACCACAGCTTTGTAAGGAAGGCTGTAGAGTCATGACCCATCACTGAAGCTACAGTAATGAATGGGTCCAAGTTGCATCTCGTAACAGGACAGAGATAAAATACAATGAATAATTTTGGGTGTGATGCACTAATATCATATTCAATGAGCCTGAAATCATAAAAATCTCATAGGAATTCCACATCAAACTTTTGTTTTTATGAAGTTCAATCTGTTGGTTACAATTTTTTATGACATTAATGGTTAACCCTTTCTGAGTTAACCTGACACAGGTGGTTAATGGCAACAATGTGGTCCACTTTGTCTATTACGAAAGAGGGGAACCCTTTAGCAAGCTGAAACATAGAGTTCATCTCCCCCTTGTTGTTTCTGAGCACAATGGGGGGATATTTCCTTTGTTAACATGGATTGACTGACTGAGTTTGGTTGTACGCCGCTTTTAGCAATATTCCAGCAACATCACGGCGGGGGACACCAGAAATGGGCTTCACACATTGTGCCCATGTGGGGATTCGAACCCAGGTCTTCGGCGTGACGAGCCAACGCTTTAACCATTAGGCTACCCCACGGCCCCTGTTAACATGGAACATTTGACAGATCATGTTCAGTGAAGATTAGTATGTTTTCAGTCACTAACATGTTTCCTCCAAACAGGATTATCTACACTTCTGCGATGTTGTTGAAACATTGGTGGCTAAGGCTTCAAAGTAACTCTCACTCAATCATAATGCCATGAGTCTCGCTGAAAAATATTTCAATTTGCAGCTGCATCTTATCAAAATCTGAAGACCAAACAATTGATAATAATAGTGAGGGTAATTGCTGGAATAAAGCCTTAACATTCAGGTCACTTCACTGAAGCTACCATTCAGCTTTCCGACTCAGGGAACATTGATCAGAAACATTAAAAATATAAAAGAAAGTTTCCACATAACGGTTTCATGTTCCCATTCATTTTTTTATGTATAACCTTGGCCTTTGCAAGTAGTGTTGCAAAACAATGATGAAATAAAGTCAAGGTGAAACTGTATGTAACATTAAGCATGGTTAAATGGAACCGTAAGCAATAAGCCAGTCATATTTTGCAAGGTGTAAGTGGGCTCCATAGGAACCAAACCCCAGTCCTCACATGAAGTATCTGACAATATATATTATGGCTGCGCATAATATAAACAGTATTTACCAGTTCAGACATGAAAACGATATGTATTGCGATATGGTGATCGGAAACTGGTATTTTGACTTTCATTCAGAAACTTCGTAACACTCGGAAATCTTCAGATATTTCCTTATTTCATTTCATGTAAATATTATTTACATTTTTATTTTGTCATGATTAAAAGGTTTTATTAAAGCTTAATCAAGCATAGTGATTTTGTTGTGTTCATGCTTTATAAATCAAGCATTAACTCGATTATACGTGTTTTAAGTTATACTTCTTGCAACATATTGCAATACATATCGCAATATATTGCAATACGAAAATTCTCTGCACCCCTAATATACCCACCCCTAATATATATGTCATGTTCCAGATATGTTCGCCTTCACAGCATGCATGCCTGAGTGTGGGTGACTGCTTGTACTAGACAACTGCCTGTTTTGTTATATATTTCCACCATCTTTTACACCCATTGGAATCTTTCAGTGGATAATCAATTACTGATCATATCTTGGAGTTGATATTTGATAGTCCAAGTTCTATCCTTTCAAGCAGACAAAAGCTTAGTCTCTGAACATATAGTGAGTAAGTGAGTGAGTATGGTTTTACACTGCTTTTAGCAATATTCCAGCAACATCACGGAAGAAGTAATCCCAGATCTGAACCACTAATCCAAGACATTACATTTCTTTTAGCAATATTCCAGCAACATCACGGCGGGGGATACCAGAAATGGGCTTTACACATTGTACCCATGTGGGGAATTGAACCCGTGTCTTCAGCGTGACGAAGCGAACGCTTTAACAACTAGGCTACCCTACCGCCCCCTGAATATATAAAATTTTGATAGAAACCAATAAATCCTTTTAAATTGAAAAGGAGCCCCACTGAGAAGGGAAATTCTCAACCTGAGAAAAACTAAATTTGCTTTATTTACAGCTTTAGCATTGCAGAAAAGGCTAGGCCACAGGGAAAATAATGTATTTCAGGGACTTTCAAGATGCAAGATGTAGTATAACACAGATACCTACTCAGACAACTAATACTGACTCCAGCTGGTCAGTTTCTTTTTGTTTCCTAAGTGCCAGGCAATGTAAAAACAAGCACCATTTTTTACACCTTTTTTTAACAAAAGGATCAAACTGCCAAGCTTCTTCTTTGAGCAAACGCTCTACCTCAACAAAAAGGCCTGAACATAAAAGACTGAGTGAATGAGTGAGTGAGTTTAGTTTTACTGCACTTTTAGCAATATTCAAGCAATATCACGGCAGGGGACACCAGAAATGGGCTTCACATATTGTACCCATGTGGGAATCGAACCCAGGTCTTCAGTGTGAGGAATGAACGCTTTAACCACTCGGCAACCCAACTGCCCCTTGAACATAAAAGAACTCCATGCAATGTCTATGAACCTATACACTCGGTTCCTTTTCGCCTACCTACACGCCACCTACACTAATAAGGACAATGCCAAGTATACGTCAATGGAAACGCGATCCCAACAAACATGCATCTCATATTACCAACAAGACTAATGACAAAAACAAAAACACAATACTACTTC